AAGAAAATTAAAAATTGTTTTAAATACACTTCGAGCACTTAAATCTGTTACACTACCAGCATAAATACCTTTTAAAACTGGATCAAGTAAATATTCAACAATGTCTTCAGCGAGAACGTGACCTAATTTAAAGAATTTTTAATTTTCTTTTAAATAAAAAACCCCCAAAAAAAGAAACTCTTGTTTACCAAAACGACGATAAATAAATGATTTAATTGTTTCATCTTGAACAGTAAATCGACCTTTTTCAGAAAAATATTCATAAAGAACATAAACAATTGGTGGATAACGTAATGGTTTTCCACCAAATATTAATGATAAATCATTAAGATTAATTAATTTTTTATTATAATAAATAAGTCGATTTTTAAATGCTGGTGATGTTTTCTCAACAGGACAAAATTGATCATTAAATATATTAAGTTGTTCAAGTAATTTCAATGTATTTATTGTTGAATGATTACTTGACGATGCAATACCACTATGAAGACGTAATGTTCGTGCACCAAGTTCAAATACATGTGAATCATATTTTTTATCAAGTTGTTTAGATTGTATCCAACCACCAAAACGTGATGATCTTTCGAATAATAAAATACGTAGATGAGGAATTTTAGAAAGTGCTACTTTTTGTGAAAGATAATAAGCTGATACAAGGCCAGCTATACCACCACCGACAATACCTATTGTCGGTGATTTCTGCATTCTAAAAATGAAAAGAAAAGGAAGAACTTACTGTATGATATAAAAACTATATATATAGAGATAGATATGCACGAACATATTATTTGCTAGTTATCGGTCAAACAACGAACTAATCAAACATATTAGAAACAAAGAGGGCGTTGCATTTCGTTTGATTTATTTATCAAAATCGATAACAACTTTTCCTTTAACTCGACTAGTATCTAAACGTTCATAAGCTTGTTTTACATGATTACTAAATGCAAATACAGAATCAATTACAGGTTTAACAATGCTTTTATTAAGCATATAAAACATTTGATTTATATTTTCTTCTTTAGATGATAAATTAATACAATAATAACGTGGTCCAAGACCAATTATTGATTTTAACGATCGTAAAATCATTGTAGGACTAAATAAATAAGATGCTGCACCACCTAAAATTTTTCGTGATGTTTTATCACCAACAATTGTTACATAAATTGATTGATTTGATTTAAGAAAATCCGAATTAAGATATGGAATAAATTCAATTCCACCTACACAATCAAGAATTATATCATACGGTCCATATTGTTTACTTGCAACTACAACATTATTTTTAGTATAATCAATTACTTCATTAGCACCTATTTCTTTAACAAATTCAATATTTTGAGTTGAACATGTTCCAACAATATATTTATTCATTGCGCGTGCAATTTGACAAGCAATATGACCAACACCACCGGATGCACCAAGAATAAGAATTTTTTGATTATTTGTATGATCATCAATAAAACCACCCCAATCATGTAAAGCTGTATAAGCTGTAAGAAACACAAGTGGCATTGCAGCTGCTTCAATATGTGATAAATTAACTGGTTTATGAGTCATACTTGACATATTTTCAGATAATTTTATATATTGACTAAGACATCCATTACCCGTAATGGATAAATTTAAACCAAATACTTCATCACCTATTTTATATTTAGTAACATTACAACCAATTTTGTAAATTATACCTGAAAAGTCAGCACCAGGAATTTTTGCTTTATTCATACCAGAAGCTAATAGCCAATTTGCGATCCATTGTGATATATTACCAAGTTGAATATCTACAGGATTGATAGCAACTGCTTTTATTTCAACAATTACTTCATTCGGCTCTAATTGAGTATTAATAGGTATAACTGTCTGTTGTAATGTTTGTGTTATTGAACCTTGTTCATAATAAATCCATACTTTNTCGCTAGCTTTGAAAGTTGGGCACTTTTTATGTTTTGAATAATATTCATTTAGCTTTTCCCCTGAACTTTCTACAGAAATAACTTTAGTTATGGTTTTGTAGAGAATTTCACGGCGCATCTTTTGGCAAAACAACCAGCTCTAAAGATCAAAAAGAAAAAAAGTTATAATCAAAATACTGAGACCACCATTTATTCTGGGCCACCCATTATAATATTAGAGATTAGAAGATGAAAGAAACTTTTCAAATATCATTCTGTATATCACTACAAATTCTAATTTTTGAGAAAACAGAATAAACCTGCATCTGCTAGACTACGATCAAATAAACATTAGAGTTAAGTCTATATTCAAGGTGTTTAGGGCAAACAAACATATTGATAGCTGGGTAATGTTTGTTTCTATCAATAACTGCAATAAATTTAGTATTTTTCAGTCTCAAATAGTTTATCATGGATTTGAGCTGACAAAAAACTACTGATGACTCTAAGTGCAGATACCGCAGCTTGGCTGTAGGAAACTGCGGTTGATCGCAATTTTATTCAAAAATTTTTCTGCAAGTAAATGAAAACAAAACAAACATAACATTTACATATTATTTCATTATATAGCACATATATTACGAAGGTCCTATTTATTTATAAATATATTGAGACAGATTATTATAAAGTATGGACTCTAATTTGATTGGTTCTCTTTTTCTATGTGCAGTAAAAGCCACATTTCTTTTAACTGACATGTTTGTTTCATTTTCTGTGACCAATATAGGTAATAATAAAGAAAAGGAAATGAATGTGAAGAAAACTATTCATTACATGAAAGTTAATGCAAAACAAATAAAAATATCATCAATTATTTCAGTATACAATATATTTATTAGAATTTTGCTTTTAAGATTAGAATTAGATTCAATGGAAATTATTTTCTTTACGTTTGTGCTTATTTTTACAATTCTCATTGATGACCATAAAATGAAAAAAACTGTTTTCATGGTAAAGATACATAAGTGAAAATTATCTTTCTAATAAATATGTTAAGCGAGTAAGAAAAGTATTGATCGTCTTGTCATGTGTTCCTTAATATTTCAAAGATAAATTTATAGATTGTCTTCTAAACATAGGTTTATTTTCAATAAAGATGAAGAGATTTTTGTTAAATATTTTTATTGGTATTATTTATTGTAAAAATGCATTCGAATGGCGTTCAAGATCAATTTATCAAATATTAACTGATCGATTTTCTCCAGAAAATTTTTCTTATATTCGATGTATGGAACAACCAATCACAGAATATACATTGAGACATTATTGTGGTGGAACATATCGAGGTGCCATTGATCAATTAGATTATATTCTTCAGATGGGTTTTAATGCATTGTGGATTTCACCAATTCCATCAAATATTGATAAAGAAACTATTTATGGAGTTGGTTGGCATGGCTATTGGCAAGATAATATTTATCAATTAAATCAATATTTTGGAAGAGAAAATGATTTTATTGATTTTATTAATGAAGCACATAAACGTGATATTTGGATTATGTTAGATGTTGTTGCAAATCATGTTGGGCCAAATGTAACAAATCATTACTTTCCCTTTAATAAAAGTGAATATTTTCATCAACCATTGTGTTTTATTAGAGATTATTCTAACCAAACAGAAGTAGCAGAAAGAAAATATTTTTTGAAATATACTTATTTAATTATTTCAGGTAGAATTTTGTTCCATTGGTGATGAACAAAGTTCATTACCTGATTTAAATACAGAAAACGATTTTGTCATATCAACATTTCTTTCGTGGATAAACAAAACAATAATTAAATATAAAATTGATGCTATTCGTATAGATACATTTCGTCATATTCGACAATCATTTTGGACAGATTATACTCGTTATGCAAATGTTTATTCTCTAGGAGAAGTGGCAACATCAAATACATCTTATGTTGGTTCATATCAAAATGTTGCTGATGGAATTCTTCATTATCCATTGTATTTTGTATTAAAACACGTTTTTCAGGATGATGACCAATCAAGACAATCAATGTTGATTCTTGAAAATCAAGTTAAAGAAAATGAAAAATATTTTAAAGATACAACATTATGTGGAATATTTTTAGATAATCATGATCAAGATAGATTTTTAAGTCATACTCAAAATCCAGTACGCATTCAAAATGCTCTTGTTTATCTTATGTTTAGTGATGGAATTCCAATTGTTTATATGGGTACAGAACAAAATTTTACTGGCAATCCAAATGAAAAATATGGTGCCACAGATCCATGGAATCGTGAACCATTATGGAGATCAGCATATAATCGTTCAACATGGATTTATAAATATTTAACTAAACTTAATCAGATTCGTTCTTTACTCAAAGAAAAATATGATGAAGAATTTTTTCTATCTCATCAACAAACAATTTATATTGATAATGATACTTATATTTATAAAAAAGGTCCACTTATAGTGATTGTATCAAATCAATCATTTAATCGAACGAAAAAGTTTTCATTATATTCAACTATAAGTTTTAATCAATGGAAAGACGTACTTTCGAATAAAACATATGAAATAAATCATTATAATCAATTAAAAATCGATAATTGGTTACCACAACTTCTTCTTCCTGTGTCAACGTCAATATCTTTTTTTTGTCCTGTTTGATAATTTTTAATTTTATAAATCTTATAACTTATTCATCATCGAAAGTTTTTCGATATAAATCAATACTCATTATATATTTATATTAGACATTGAATTCGATTTCTATCCTTTCAATTTGATTCATCAAAATAGATCATTATTTACTGTCAAGCAAAAGACACAATAATTACTTTAGTTACAAGCCTTAGGTTTTTTCATGTTTTGCGCTAACTGTATTCATAGAATAATGTAACATAAATGAATCATAGAAATGATATTCTTCATATAATTAGTGTCAACTCAATCTTTGCATCTAACCTTTCGATCATATTCACAGTTCCAATAAGTTCTAATAATTATTTTACATCGAGTTTCTTTTATTACTCACCGGAATTTGGATACTTAAATTAGCGCTGAGAGTCTCGTGTTAATTGTGAGGAGTATTATACATTGTTGTTTTCGTTCTCTTTGACGCATCGTTATAAACATCATCTGAACACTTGTGTCACATACAGCTTATAGATGGAATATGGTTTTAGGATCTGCATGTGGGTGTGGTTGAAGAGGACATTTATTTCTACAGCGATAGACACAACCACACCCCACATACATGTTTTGTGTTTTGTGCTGCTTTATGCCGTTAAGACTGTTCTCATCTTTGTGAAAAAGTTCCCATGGGGTAATCAAAACACAGCCTAATATTTTTGGTGGTTCTGACTTCAATCGTCGAAAATGGATGAAACAGTCGATTGAAATATTTTGCCATCAAAATAGATTATTGTTCATGGTTTTATTCATAAATGATCATCGATTTCATCAGAGATCCATGATAATCCCTTAAAATATCATTCAAAGCCATGGATTTTATTTCAAATCATTATTAATCGGTTGCATTATCATATACTATCATCAGTTTTCATTCAATAGTATTCAAAACAGATTTGTAGGTCAGTCAGAGTAGGCAGATATGTGTATGTAGGTGCTTGTAGGTTAGGATGATTGTGTAAATATGATTGGATATTGGCAAAGTTTGATTTTGGGTTAAGACAAAACTGTTCGCTCTTACCTACCCATTCTACTCAGCTACCAAACATAAATATACACAATAGTGAATGTTTTCGCCTGTAGATAGCACGGATCACCAAATAAAGTATTGCCTACAGTAAAAGAGAACCATTGGGGGTCTTGGCAGTGGCTTATCATCGGCGTTGTGACCATCATGGCTGAACAATTACAGTATGCACATGTTCAGCTGGAACAACTTGAGACACCATAAAATGCTCGAAAAATATTGAGCGCGAATGAAGTACTGTAAGTGAGGTTAACAGAAGTATTTTCTCCACATGTGTAAGTCATATTCCCTGAACAAATAGAAAGTCGCAAATAATTCAAGTTCTGTTTTTATAGAAAAAGTTTTCCGTAACAAGCGTAGTGGTGGTCGTTGTTGATGTGCTGGCTGCATGAAAAATTTTGAATGAGTGAAATATTTAGATGGTATGAATCATAAAAAGAGTTCTCCATAACGAAAAAGTGTTTTCAAAACAAAGTTGTCAAACCTCTCAATGCGTTTGAGTCTAAAAAAAGGTAAATCCACATCTTGAAACTACTAATCAAAGCTTTTTCTATGATGTTTTGCTTACATTGAAGTACGGAAACTATTTTCGGTTATGCTATTCTATTTTTAATAAAGTCAAGTACTTGCAAGGTCTGGTTACTGCAAGCCATAATGTCTTATCTTTTCGACTACTTGACATTTACTTTGGTTGCAATACTTCAATTTCAAAAGAAAAAGACATTTAATTGACAAGAATTTAGTCTATAGTCTGCATATTGATGGTATATTCAGCTGAAATCTTGTTTTTGAGTTGTGATGAATCACAACTTGTCTAGATTTCTTTTTACATGACTCAATGTCTACTCTTTTATTATTTCTATAAATATTGTCCAAGTATATCGTGGAATTCAGTCGTTCTGTATCATCAATCATACCTCTCGATTTGTGTTTTCTTAATTGAACTCGTCTAAGGACAGTGTTTAGCCATGTCGCCGTTTGAGTATTACATTTAGCATCTATGTGTCTCAACCATCCGATCGAGGCTGTCCTTGATAATTAGATACTGATGACAAACGAAATCTAGCTGTTCTCGTTAGAACTATTTTAACTGATGCCATGGCCGACTAAAATGGCGGACAATATTTTAAGGCCCTCTTCGATATATTTGATTCATTTTGGAAAAAAATACTAACTATAATACTTTTGACAATTTTTTAGATATTTTTTTTCTATCTGATTAACATCAAAACTTTTTATGGACAAAAGGTCTACTAATTCCTTTGTCCTAGGTCAAGTGTTGGTCTTACACAATGCTGGTGTCAATGTCAACCAAGTTCAAGTTTTATAGCTATTCAAGGTTTCACGATATTGTTTATAAAATATCACGCAGAAATATGAATGACTGAGACAATACGATAATTTGAGATGCACTGGGGATCCAGAAAAAGTTTTGGTCGTGAAGTTCGCCATCTGAAAAAATTGATTAAAGATTATTCCTACTTTGGTGCAACCAAAATTGTATCGGGCTTGAACAGTAGCTTACCAAATCTGGTCACAACAAGAACAGTACGAATATATTTGAAAGACTTTAGCTTTGAATATGTGGTGAAAATCAAGACAGAGTGGTTAAAGTCTCCTCTAAAAAAAAGCCACTTTTCGTCAGATTGTTTAAAATTAAGATGAATGCACGGGAAGATAGTCCGTGATGTGATCTCTCATAAATAGTAAACGTTTTTACTCGGCCCCTCGTTTTTCCAAATTTTTTTAAAGATTTTCGTCATCACCTGTTCGAAAAATAAGTTGTTTTTGGAAAAAAAACAAAAATGATTTTCGTTTTTTCTCGTTTTCTCGGTTTTCCATTGTATCTTCTAGAATTCTCGAAGGAGCTTCATTGTATCCAATAACTGTTTCTTCGCTTAAAAGCTCGTGTTTAAGATTACCTACTCTAGTGGCCCTTTTTTAAAATAAACTTTTTTATTATCATATAAGAAAACACCTCTATAGGAACGATACCATTTTCTAGAGGTTTTTTGAGTTATTGAACTTGTGATTCCTGACATGCTCTTTCAAACAAAAAATTAAATATATAGAGTGAGCCTGAATAGAGATATTTGGTTTGTCAAATGTCCTATTTTTTACCCTTTGTTTGGTGAATATCTCTGTCAAATGTTATGATATAAGGCTGAAAATGTTACCATAGCCTCCCCATACCAGTCCGAACATCTTCGGAAAGGTTCATGCAATTTGGACGTTCTTGAAATAAGATTGAATTTTGAGGTTGGGGGGGGGGGGGGGGGGGGGGGGGGGGGGTGGTGGATGTTGGTTGGGGGGGAGGGTTTTTTCCTTTTGGTCCCCACCCCCCCCCCCCGTGGGGTCCCCCCCGGGTTTTTTTTTTTTAATA